AAGCGGACACAAAACGAACAAAAGGACGTGGGAGGGTTTGGGGGAAAATGGCGCCAAAGGGGGCCGCGGGGGGAGGGAGGGTTTGTTTTGTGTCACCGACAGGCGGGCCAGGGGCGGACAAGCGCGCGCGTCCCGCCTGTCCGCGCGCTGTCCTTTTCACCCCAAAATCGGCGCAAACTTGGGTCGGGGATGGGCCGAAAGCGGACACAAAACGGACAAAAGCCCGTTTGCTCCCGCGCGCTGGGCCGACCGATTTGTCCTTTTTACCTCAAACGGACGGGGCCGGATAGGATGGGGTCGCGCAGTGGAGTTGGCCTGAGGAAGAGAAGGCCATGCGGTTTCAGTTGTTCAAGGCCACGGTCGAGCTCATCGACTCAGGCCGCTCCCAGTCGGCACGAAAGAAATACAGCTTTTTTGCAGACTTGACACCTCAAGAGCGGGGGAGACTACGTGGAGTATCTCCGCCGGACGAGGAGTTCTACAAGTTCCTCAAGTCTCGTCCCGAGTTTATCAACTATCACAAAGGACTTCCTGGAAATAAGGCGTGATCGATCCAAGCCGGCCGTCGTGAAGCAGGCAAACCCGCAGCCACATGCACACAGGCAACTCAAGTATATGGAGTGCGATTAGCTTACTGAATTCATTGGCCGAGTACCCAAGTTTGAAGTTTCTGCCTGGTTATGGACTAGAACTAGATTGGTGTCTGCTTATTTGATACTCGTATCCAATGCAAGTGGTAATGAACCTCTTGTAGTTAAAATAAGAAAGCTTGGACTCCTTTAAGTTTGCTATATGTTGACCTGAATCATGTGTTGAAACTAAACAACGATATTATTTGCTCAAAAAGAAAGGATTCTAGAGTGTAGACATGGACATGTGTCGACACGTTCAATGCAAACCATCGGGGTTACTTGCGCATTTACAGGTACGTCTAGTTATCTTTATAGTTTTGTGCTTTAAATCTAATCTTTGCATTACAAAATATATGTCTTTGCATTTAAAGATAATCATTATATATAGTTGAAACTTCCATAACAGTGCATTTGAAGACACAATTTGATAATAATTTATCATCTTAGCCTATGTCTTGGAGTATGAGTTGTGAGAGATCTAATGTGTATGATTGTTTCTTTATTTCTAGACACTAATGGAATCGCCGAAGATGTCTGGTTTCAAATGTTTGCCGAACGCTTTTCATTGGGAACTCAGCAATGTTACCCGTTTGCCGAACGCTTTTCATTGTCGAGCGCCAGGCAAAGAAACTCGGCAAACACCTGATCGAAGGGACCCACACTGGACCACACAACGGCTGTGTGACATGGGGAAACCGTTGCCGAGTTTCCACACTAAGGGAAACCCGACAAAGCCTTGACCCTCCATCTCCGTCGCCTATAAATGGCCCACATCGGAAGTATTTAGAAAGCAACACACGGATATTTAGCTAGTATTTGTAAATTGTTTGCTTGGATATTCCATCTACATCAGACTGCAAGAGGGTGTGCTTTTGACAAGTATGACACATAAGAGGAGTTATGTGCAAAATAGTCTTCAGTTGCTGGTTAGAAATCCCTTTTTTTTTATCTCTGTCGTCCGCTATTGATCCAACAGCCCACATTGGAAGTTTGCATATTTGCAGTGAGTTTCAGTTTTCAATAACATTCAAGCCATATAGTCTGAAAAATCTCATACAAAAAGGTACCTCTTCTAACAACACATCCTTCCAGAATCTTGTTCTGTCCATTAATTACCAATTACCTTTCTACAGAACTTATACAAAACTAGAAATGACCGGAGTCAGAGATGTCTAAACCGGTTATATGAGAAGAATGATTGTAAAGTGAACGGTTTGCGGAGTTTGGAGGTAAACCGAACCAAATCAAAGTTTAAGTTGTTACCTAAAAGTCTAAAACTCTAGAACAAGTTCAGGGAAGCAACATGAACCCTAGCTGCGCATCCAATTTGGTGTAACTTGCAAGGCCTGTACGACACCTGTTTTGGTGCAGCACCAGGCCAGCTGGGACACAATGATCCATCTCTTGTGGCAAGGCCGCAAGGAAGAAGGAAGCAATGGTTGACAGGTTGACTAATAAGCTTGGCGATATTTGCCTACAAAAATCGAAGTAGTAGTGCAGTACCCATGTTGATCAATCCATTGTTGTCAGAGTTTCAACACCGATGTTAAAGAAAACACTGCAGTAAATTCATATGAACCAACGTGATACTACATGGGGAGTGCTGCTCACACAGTCATACACGAAATTGTGTGGAGCAAAATACTGGCGTCTGCTACTTGTTAAAGGTATATGTCCTCTGAACATAGGCCGGATCCTTAGTCCTCACTACTGGCCTGCTACTAGTAAGTTTAAGCTAGATTCCTTATAATTAATCAATTATAATCTCCACCAGTCTTCCATCAGGCTATCATCTCTCCTCGACCTGCAAAGCAGAACAAATATGCAACAAATGCTACTAGTCAGGATGCAGATTGATCACCAATAAGGCAGTCTTTTTTTCTCTTTGCAGGTACCAAATAAGGTAGACAGGTAGTCTAGTAGCTAGTGTGTTCATACGCACGACCTTAATCACCATTCACCAGAGTGCAGGCTGGGCTTCAGGCCTATGCCTTACACGTCGGGGAGCTGCCGCGGCCACAGCCGTAGCGCTGTCAATTCCTCCTCCTCCACCTCCGGGAAGGATCCCCCGAACGCCGTCGCCGGTAGCTTCGGCGCCACAGCTGACGCCTCCACAGCAGCACGCTGCTGCCCCTCCTCGCCCATCTGACAAATTAAGAGTGAAGACACATTCAGGAAGCCAGTACACAACCACAATAGCAGCTTAGCAGGCAGGCAGCGCGATGCGAATTACCAGGCGGCGAAGGAAGCTGTTCTGGTCCTCCAAGGTGTGCACCTACGTGTCAGATGCACAATGCCATTCACAGTTAAATTCCGGATGAAAAATTGCTTTGTGTGCCTCTGAATCGATTTTGGTTCTCCTAAGATTACAATTACCTTGTGGTATGATTCGTCCAACTGTTGCTCCAGCGGCTTGTCCTGCACACACACGAGAATGTCATATTGCAGTTCACTCAAACACTGGGCACGTGAGCGACACAGAATTTTGTGCAGTGCTGCAGCACGTGTGTACCTTCATTTCACGAACTTCACCCAGCACGCGCTCCAGTCGCTGCTCCAGATCATCGAGTTCCGCCGCCGTCGCGGCGGATGGCAGGTCTTCTCCGGTCTGCCTCCTCACGCTGACCTCCAGACGGTCATGCTCACGCCTCAGCCCTGCGATGATATCCGCCAACGGTTGCTGCTGTGTGCAAAGAATCACATAGATCAATCAGACATGCAAGCATGCAGTTAAATGTGTGTATGTATGTTGTACATGACTGGAGGTGTTTGTTTGTTGACCTGATCATCAACATGATTTATCCCCTGGAACTGGAACTTGTGGTTGGTGATGCTCTCGTAGCGCTCGATTAGCTCGCTCCAGCTTAACAATGACAAGTCAGGTATAAACATGTCACAACTAATAGTATATTGTACACTGAATATGAGCATAAGCATCTGAATCTGAGCAGAAGATTAAAATCAGAGCTAAATTCGAAAGCATCATCTGTCTAACTTGATCACAAAACACAATTCGAGCATGCCAATTGCCAATACTGCGGCTGGCTAGGACGATGCCAAAGATGGCCGGTCAGCGCGTGACGGAAAGGACGGAGGACGGACCTTGTGTTGGGGCTGCAGTAGTCGAACAGCTTGCCGGCGCCGTCATCGTCGAAGACGAGGAGGCCGAGATCGACGCCGCAGAGCACGGCGAGCTCACGCGCCTTCTTCAGCAGGCCGCGGCGGCGCTTGCCGAAGGTGGCCCGGCGCGACACGTCGTTGTGGATCCTCTTCATCTCCGTCCTCCCGCGGCCCATCTTCTCTTGGCTCGGAACGCGGGGAGCGATCGACGCCGACGACGAGCTAGCTGGAAGAAGAAGAGATCGAGCAGCAGGTCAGTTCCATGCATGGTGCTGGAAGAAGAAGAAGAGAACGCGGGGACTCGTAGCAGGAGAAGCATTGTATGTACCTTGTGTGGCACGTATACTGTTCTTCTTCTTCTTGGTCCTTCCGGGCAAAGGCTGTAACAACTGAGACTGAAACTGTGAACTCGGGTGTGCTCTCCTCTCCTCTCCTCTAGTGATAGTCCGTGGCCACGCGCCGCCGTACAGTCGAAATGTAGTGCAAATTCCGGGAAGTTTCGCCGGCGACTAGAGCTTTTGACCACCCCGCTGCTTCCAGGAGGCAGCGATCCCGGCCCCTTCCAGTGTACCGTGTGACTGTAGCAGTAGCAGTAGCAGTTCAGGTGAGACGATGACCGGTCCGCCCGTCACAGCCGACCGGAAAGCAAGCCACTCACCGATCCTCTCCTGCGGTGCGCGTGGAAGAAAACAAAAGCGGCGGCTGCGTTGCCGGTCTGGGAAGTGGTTGGGTCACCGCGCCTCCTTCCGTGCCGAGAAACTTGCCATTTCCGGCGTAAAGCGAAAGCGCGGCCCGACAGTGAGTGACCCCGATAAGATACACCGCGGTGACCGTTGTGTTTCTGCGTGACCAGCGCACGGTAATAAGTACTATGTCGATCGTTAAATTTCCCAAAGCGCGTCTATCCATTTCACAAAGAAAAGCATGTCTATCTGTGGGAGTTTGCGGGCTCCTGTTGAGTATATCAGCAAATTTCCAATTAATTTAATCCACGAATAAATCATGAGCATGATCAGGTTGGAGCATCTCTAGCAGATCCTATAAAATGCGTTACTGTAAATTTCATGTACGAGATATTGTAAAACGATTTTGCTATACCGCGGACGGCACGACAGAGCAGATCCTTCAAAGCATACTGCATAATTTAAACATACTCCCTCCGTTCCAAAATAGATGACCCAACTTCGTACTAACTTTAGTACAAAGTTGAGTCATCTATTTTGGAACGGAGGGAGTACTATATAAACATAGTTCACACAAACTTAAACATACTAGATTAAACCAATCTAAACTACTCATCATCGTCCTTGACACCAAGATGATACTCCATCATGGAGTTGGAGAGGACGAAAGCGAAGTCGTACTCCTCCTTGGCCGCCTCGAGCCGCGCGGCGACACCTTCACCGCAGCCCACTCGCGTTCCGTGGTCAGCCAGAGAAAGCCGTGGAGGCGATCGAAGTTCCTCCATGTTCGTGTCCCGTTGCTGCAGGAAAGGGCGCCGCGCTCCTGTGCCTGCACACGGTGCCATTCCTCCCCCAGCGGGTGGATGGCAGAGCTGTTAGAATAAATCCGAGGAGCTCCGTCGATCTACCGAGGACCAAACAATCACACGAGGCACGACACCGAGATCTGTTAATGAGGTTCACCGATATGGCTACATCCCCGAGGCTTGACTATGGGCGCTCCTCCCCATGACACCACTACAATACCGCACCCGGTCGTCCTGAACACCGGCACATGCCGCCGGCTTCCCTTGCGTTCCGGTGCTATTATGTTGGCATAGGTTACATCGTGTGTTTACCCTCGCTATATAAGAGAGGCCTAGGATACAAGTGTCATATTAGGACACGACTCCATATCCTATCTAAACACAATACTACTCAGAGTCCAACTGTAACTTACCTTGTACACAATATTCGACACAACTCTAACAAGAGCTCTCGGCCTTGACATCATGACGGGTCCGCTTGTGCGGCGACGAGCCGCCACGGTCTCAGCCACCACGCCTGTGTCCTCCGCTAGACAACGGGGCGGGCCTTTTTTGGTTGTGTGCACTGCAAACGACGGCTGGAGGGAGATGGATTTGATGCTAGAGAGTGCGAGATTGCGGTGGAGGGGGAAAGGGGATTTGCCGGATGCGAACCCTAAAATGCCTGGGTTCCGGTAAATATTGCGGATATGCTAGAGTTTTACGGGCCGGGACTTATTTTACAGTATCTGATCGGGCCGATTTTTTTTCAGATTTTGTAAATCGACTCAAATTTTACGGGCCGGCGAGCTTATACGGGATCTGCTAGAGATGCTCTTACTACGACAAAGTGTATCTCTAGACACGATTACACATGCAATTCAATCGAATGGTTACACGTGAATGAGACCAAACGGTTGTACACGTGAATGAGACCAAACTCAAACTCAGCTAGCTGTGTTTTAGCAATCTCGTTAAATCTTTGGAAATGGGTTAGATAAACAAAAGATTCATTCCTTAAAAGTGGGAAATTAAAGGATGGGGGATAGAATGAGGAATTAACTTATGAGGATCGGCTAGAGATGTTCTTAGTGTAGGTCTCACTTTCAAAATTCTTTGCATAAAGTGGGAGAAATCAGGCTTGCTTTTTATCTGACTTAATATCCCATTTCCTTTCTGCAAATATCATTTGCTCACAGAGGTTACCTTTAGATGCATATGGAAGAACATTTAGATGGGAGAGAAAGTAAAAAAGTAATACTCAAACTAAAAATCAGTTCTTACACACATATCCTTACATGCTAATTTATTAATTGGTGCTAGCTAATTAATACTCATTTCAGCAGTGGCCTCTTGTAAGTAACCATCACTTTTGCCTCTTGGCCCTGGAATTAATCTCTCCCATTCCTCGTCCGGGAAAGGGGAGACAATTTTGAGCTCAAAGTTCCTTAGTAGATGGCTCCATATCACGTTGATTTGCATGTAAGCATAGTCCTCCCCCAAGCAAACGTGTCTGCCGGCACTAAACCGCATGAACGAGAATTTGCCACCAACTTTGTCCTCCTCTCTCCCCGGACCAAACCTAGAAGGATCATACACATGAAGGGCGGGCCCACTACAATTCAAGGGTATTCAACTGAATATCCATTATTTTTGCCCCAAAACTATGTATATGTAGTGCATAGTATACGTACCTGTAGAGAAAAAGTAAACTGACGGGAAATCTGATGCGTGCACGAATTCAGCCCAATACAAGGGTAACCCACCTCTGGGTTTCCTTCCTCCCCATCCCACATGGCCAGCGGCCCATTATTTTTTCTTCTCCAAGCCCAATACGAGAATGGCTACAGCCCAGCCATATGGCCTGATCGCTCCCATGAAGTCAACAACAGAACGATCAAGCACGCACACGCATGAGGCTGCATGTTAAGGAAAATCTTATTGGACGCTAGCTGCGTCGACTTGTCGAGGCTTCGCACAGAGAGCTAGCGATAGCGATCAAGATGGGCCGGCCCAGTTAGGAGATAGCGCTGGCCCTGCAGCTTCCGGTTTTGGGAACCTTCTGGAGGGTTCCTGAACGGTTTCGGGAACCTTCTAGAAGGTTCTTGAACCGAGTTTTCACTGGTTTTCTCTGTTTGCTTTTTCTTTGTTGTTTTTCCTGTTTTTTTCTTTTTCTTTCTTCGTTTTTCTGTTTCTTTATTTCATCTTTAAATTCCTTTTTCTTCTCTTTTTGTTTTCTTTTTGTTCACATTTCAAATTACGTTTGGGAGTTTCAAAAAATCTTCCCATTTCAAATTCGTGCTTCTAAATTTGTTCTCCATTTCAAAAAAATTTCTCAACACTCAAAAATTGTTCGTGCTTTAAAAAAATGTCCGCGCTTCTAAATTTGTTCTCCATTTCAAAATTTGTCTCAACATTCAAAAATTGGTCGTGCTTTAAAAAATTGTCCGCGATTCTAAATTTGTTCTCCATTTCAAAATTTGTTCTCAACATTCAAAAATTGTTCGTGCTTTCAAAAATTGTTCGCGCTTCCAAATTTATTCTCCATTTCAAAATTTGTTCTCAACATTCAAAAATTGTTCGTGCTTTCAAAAATTGTTCGAGCTTCCAAATTTG